AGGTAAAGTCGGCTGACAGCTGTGTCATCTAATGCAATTACATCCAAGAAATGTTAATGACTTTTTTTTGTTTCACTGCATTATCCAATCAGGATAAGAAGAGTTGGAGCGTTTCTTTTTTTCTTTCTTTTGCCAACAGAAAGAATAGTTTACCCATAGGTACTGTTGTATGCTCACAGATATTGATCCATTCATTGTTAGTCCACTCCACTGTAGATGAAAGCCCCCCCTGGGTTCACCCTGGTGGCCTGATGAAGATTGAATAAATGCCTGAGAAAGAAATGGCGGCAGAATGGCTCAATGTGGTCCCATGACCTTTTCAGCACTCAGGCTGCAGTTAAAGGACGGAAGACCGAGTATCTTCCTTTGGTAAATTTATTATGGCCAAAACTGCAACATTACTCAAAGCACTGATAGTTTTTAAAATGCTATGAAGTCTTTGCAAGGTATTATTTACAGCCGGAAATTTAGCGCATGCGCAAAACGCTGGAGGGAAAAAACAAAAACGACTTTTTTCTTTTCTTTTTTTTTTTTTACATAGCCGCTCTCCCATGGTAGAACCATTCAGTTAGTTAACTAAATGAAACCTGGAGATGTAGGTATTATTAACTTAGTTTCCTTTTCTATTAACGCAGAAAAGGAAAAAAATTACGCAGAAAAATCGTTAAAGAACAACTGATACGGCGCTACACGCGGACTCGTAGCCATAGCAACTGATAACAACGGTTATGTTTCAGGATTCAACGCCCGTTAGGGTTAGGCCCCCCAAAAACACTCAAACATTTCCCACTTTACTTACGAACATTCAGTCCGTTACCGTTTAATGTTTTTAGGCTTAATGTTAATTTTGCGATTATTAATAAGCGATCGGTGTGGTAGATTAGCTACAGCTGCTATTAGCTCAGCTAACAGCTAATTTAAACACCTGCTCTACTCATGATTTATCAGAGTTGGTGTTTAGGTCGCCTTTTTTATGTTGTATCTGAACCGAACACAACTAATTACTCATCACATAGATGTTATGGTTGTCAAAGTCAAGAAAGAACTGAACTACTTTCCTCTCCCTCTCCATTTTTTTCTTAATCACAATTTCCTGACCTTGTTGTTGTGGCAGTGTTAGCAATTTGTAAAGCTCTGCGTCGTACATTTAAGATTTAGGGCATTATATTGATAGCTTAGCTTAAACCAATGCAATTATTGTTGGCCAGCAGCTTTTTGCTGTCCAGCAGGTAGAATGGGTGGGATCTTTCCTAGAGGGTCCATTTGTTTTAAAATTTACAGCCTTTCAATCGTACTTGAACGCCTTAACACACTTGCAAAATAATACTTTTAAGAACAGTTAATTGTGCTTCTTAAAACGTAGATGTAAAGGCTCTTTTGCACAAGTGTCTCATTTAAATAATGCAGTAGAAGAAAAAATTCTCATTACTCAACTCACTGATATCATGCTTCAGTAAATTCACATGCATACTTTAATCAGAATTATGATTGTGGTTTAGCTAATTTTTAGCATTGTATCAGCTTTGCTACTATCAGAAACTTAATAGGACAACTAGTTTTGAATATGTTAACAGAGACTGAGGGCGTGAAAGGGAAATTAGAATATAGTTGATGCAAACGACTTCTTCATGGTTCAAAATCTGGCTGCAGTTTTAGAAAATCAAGAGAAGTTCCTTATTTAATTGACTGAATGCACTGACATTGCTATTTTAATGTCTTTTCATGCATGTAAAGTATGTTAATTATGATTTTTTTAAAACTGAAGTTAAAGACTGATATTAATTTATTTTTAAACACACTCCTGCTGAGCACAGTTTGAGATGACAGCTGAAATGTATTTGATTCAGGGAAGCTATTCCTGTTCATCTGTCTCATTGTGAGGATACCCACAGTTTTAAAAATGTTTTCCAAGCATTTATTAAAACTACAAACTGTTAAAAACTAAAAAAAAAAAAAAAAAAACTTTTGCATTTTATAAAAGTTTGCTAAAGTTGCTTGAATCATTTTCCTGAGTAGTGGCTTTTCTGAAACTCTTCATTTTTTTAAAAAAATCTGTTTTTCAACACATTTTATTTCAGTTAGTATTTCTGCCCGTCAAACCAGAAATGTAAAATGCCTTAAAATTAATACATATTGATTAATATTATTTGTACAGAGATAATGTGCCTTGCATCAGGGTTTTTATGTTAGATCAGCCACTCAAAGCAAAAGCAAAATGTTACTAAATAAGGAAACTTTCATGGTAAATTATTAATTTGCCTGGATCGAATAACAGATAGTTGCATAAACCAGAAATGATATTGCAGAAAAGACTCAATTTACATTTATGTTATTGTACATTTTTCAGTGAAGGTCAAATATCTGTATAAAACATAACGCTGCCTTAATACTGCATTTGTGTTGAGCACTTTGCATAGACTGGCACAGTTTTGGAGGAAAAAAAATCCCTCTTAACAAGAAGAAATCCAAATTCAAATATCACTTACGAACTGGGTTACAAAGGTAGAAAATTGTTACATATTATAACAAAATTTAAAAAAAAAATAAAAGAAAATAGCAAAATTTGTTTGGAAGAAAGCATTTTTCCACATATAAAATACAAATACAAACTAGGACTAAGATGCGGTGATGGCTTTATGAGAAGGTTGTGCAGCATTTTGTGCAAGAGTAAAAAAAAAGATCATGTTTTTAACCATCAACCACAAGAGGTGAGATGAGTTTTGTTTTCTACAGCTTCTTGAAGTCACTTAAGTCACTAAGCCAACCATAAAATCTCTACACAAACATGTTCTACATTATTACGTTTGTTTTTGGCGACAAAAGTATGAATACAGTCATGTATGAAATTAATTATGAAAAATTGTATACACTTTTTGCAGCAAAGCTCAAATGAAATGAAATATTCTGAAGATTTCCTCTCTTTGCAGCATTCTCTAATCTGGACGAGTCACAAAAATTGTCACGGAAGAAAACCAATAACAAACTTGTTTTTTTTGTGTGTGTTTTTTTAGTGTTTGACGTATATAAAAAAAGAAAATTGAGAAATGACTGTTAAAAATGTAACAGAGGTCTGACCGCTCCAGCTTTGAAAGTCAAGGTTTGACTGAAGGATCACACAAACCTTGAGGTCTCCTATTAATTTCCGTAAGCCAGGCAGGAATCACTCAAGGTTGCAACACGGCGTTCAGAAACATATTTATCAGCATATTACATCATTCGCAGAGGCAAAACGTCGGCTTCCTAATTTATCTGGGGCTGAAGGCTGTGCATAAATGACAACCTGCAAACTTCAATGAAATGATGCAAACTTGTAAAGAGCAGAGTTAATATTTCATCACAAGGATGTGAGACATTCCCAAGGTCAAAACCAGAACATTTTAAACTGATCCTACAAAATGTAGCTTTACAAACTACTGAGACATGGAAAGTATGTAGTCATGTTTCACTTCAGTGCTGCTTCCACAGATTATTTACTGGGAGTGAAAAACAATAAAACCCATTTGGATTTGTTGGTCATGTATTGCCTTTATCTTAAAACCCCAAAGGGAAATATAAAGTATTTTCACCTTCTGTTTTTGCTTTATTGTCACGTTTAAATGCTTCAGCTTGTCAAACAAAGATTAATACCAGGCAAAGATAATCTGAGTAAAATAAAAACTTAAACAATTTTTATGCATTGAAGGAAAAATGTTATTTCTCCCTAAACGTAGATATTTCATGGACACCCTTTCTGGTAACAACTGTCTTCAGATGCTTGAGATAATGAATCTTTCACATTGCTGTTGACTCATTTTGGTCCACTTTTCATTGCAGGATTGTTTTAATTCAGTCACGTCAGAGTGTTTTTCAGGAGTAACTGGCATTTTAAATTGTTCACCAGACATTGTGACAGAGCAGATCTCATGGTTTCATCACCCAAGACCTGAAGCAGCAAAGCAACAGGAAGCACAAGTTCCCTTTTTGTCTCGTTAGTCCACAGAATATTTTCACAAAAGTTACAGAGATCAAGACTTTTTTTTTTGTAAATCGTCAGCAGTGGTTTCCATGTTGAAACTCTCCCGCATAACCAATTTCTTTCTTATTATTTTATCAACTTTCCATCATGCTTTTAATGCTGAGTTTTGTTGTGACCTCCTGGATGAGGCGCCGCTGCGCTCTTGGAGTAATTTTGATCTTGAAAGAGATCTGCACTCTTTCATGGTTTCTTCATTTTGCACAAAGCCTCTGATTTTGTAATCTTTTCTAGACTAATAAATGTCTGTTTTTTCCTCATCAATTCATGAATTTCTTCAAATTTGAACATGTTGTGTTTTGTTTATGTGTTTTAGTCACATTTTCAGACAGGTTCTGTTCAGGCAGGGAACCAAACGCAGCTTTACAGAAACAGAGAAAAGTCACAGTTAATTCATGATTTAACCAGAAATATACACATTTTCACATCGAGACTTGTGACCTCTTAGCCATGATGAAATAAATTAATTTAAAACTACTGTTACCTTTATTTGATATTAACATGAATTTCAGTAAAAGATGAAAACCGTGTGTACTTCTGCATGCTCATAACTGTTCTGCACGTGTGTGTGTGTGTAAAGGTGTGTGTGCGTCATTTGTCTGCGCCTTGCAAGGTTAATGTTTCTCATCAATCAGTCAGGCCGATGGGAACCACTAATCTGTCAAACTCTGGCAACAGCAACCTGCATGGGACCTTCAACAGAAGCAGATGGACCATCTTATATCTACAGGACACGCTGCAGTGTCATTTATATTCCTGTTATTCTTCCACCTGATTTGTCCAGTCAACAATGCAGCCGGATGAGCCAATAAGCAATAAAACAGCAAAGTCAGACAGATTTCCTCCTGAACTGATGCACTGAGACTAATTTGAGGAATAAATGTTGTGTTGAGTTTTTTATTTTTATTTTCTTAACTTTGTCAATGAGATGCAAATCCATGCGGCATTTAGAGAGGAGGAAAAGCCAACAGCTCACACTTACATCCACAGCAGTAAAGCCACACTCTTGTCTTCAAATGCTTTCGACATGGCAGTGTTTTAGCAGACGCTGGGCAGCGGCACGCTCCTTTCTTTTGATCAGTCACTTAGCGGTTCATAAACCACCGGTGTAAGCTGCTGCACATGGAGCTGCCGGGGCAATCCTGAGCACAAATTGAATCAAGCCAATCATCCCCACACAATTCAATCATTCTGCAACACAAATATTCCATGAGGGGCTTCATCCAATTAGAGAGAAATTGCATTCCTGAGCATCATATATCCATTTCAGCTGCAGAGTTCATCACAGCCAAAAGTTTTCAGCTGAGCCACTTTAAAATAAGAGATTTGCTTTGTAAATAGGATTAAGGAATCAATCGTATCTGAGCAGAGAGGCTGAAGCAATTCTTACAGATTAACTCTGATTTTCTGAAAGGTAAGCTTTGTTTACTTTGTTTCCTTATTAAATTTGTGAGTTTTCTGCAATTTACAAACACCTGAGTTTTGCAGTTACTGAACATTATGTGGATATTTTGAGCACAGCCAGTCTTGAATTGTAAGTGACTTCAGTATTTAACACAGCATTGTTTAACATCGTCACTTGGCCAGAAAAGGATATTTCACTTTTAGTGCCGGGTTGTAAATCCCAAACACACTTTGTATGAAATAAAGCAAGATTTTATTCACAAAACACAAATGTTGGGTCATAACTAACACCGTAAAATGTGAGTGGCAATTCTATACCTCCTGCTCTTTTTTCAAGTGAGCAGGAAAGACAATAATGGCCCATCCTGAGCCAAGTGTTTCATCTGGTTCACCACAGAAATATGCAGAGACATGGCATTTTAGACAAAACCTGCGAATTTAAGGTAAAAATGCTTGTTGCCTTGTGAGAGGAAACTATAAATAAAACACAGTTGTAGAATCTGATAGCAGCTTTGTCAAGATAACTTTAATAAAAATATCAGTCTGATTAACAATTTTGATTTTCATATTTATAAAATTACTCTGAAGAGACAATTATCTTTAATTCAAAGAAAGATTTAGGTTTGCAGAGCCTGCATGTGTGCAGTTAACACAAGTGCAGTAATGGATGATGTCTAATCTATGTTTAAACTCTGGAAAAGAAAATGATTTAATGTTTATGAAGAAAAATATGTTTTCTATTAAAAACTCCAGTCTGGGTGCTTTTTCTGTGCACACCTCCCATTAAAGTTTAACTTGAGAAATCTTCATGATTGTTCTGAATGCACTTTCAGATGAACATCAACAAAAGCCCGAAGGCCCCATGGTCACATTTCAGGGTTTACATCTCATGGTCTGCCTTCAGTTGCTACAGCAAGAAAAGGTTGGCTGTTGGCTTATAGCTGCACTATTTAACTTTTATAAACAATATATTTTTAAATATTTGGTAAAACTGTCATCATGTTATGACATAACAAGAGAAAGAAAAAAGTTACTCCTCCCAATGCTGCTACTGCTATCTGCAGAAAAACACTAAAAAACAAGAGGAAATTCGCTGTCCGTTATGCTTGTGTACACGCTGCTCTATGTACTAATAGCGGAGAAACATCTTACCAACACAGGAAAACAGTTTGTCTGTGGCCGTGCTAATTAAGATCCTTTTCTTGTTTCGTGTATGTTTCTGCAGGTGGCAGTAGGATCACAAGGAGGCGTCAGTTTTATTTACACATGTTTTAAATTTATTTTTGAATCCTTTACCATCTATAATCTTTTCTCCCATAAAGGAAATCTGAGGTTTTTTAAAATAGTGTTTTGTTTTGTTTTTAATTCTGCCAGTGCTCAGACTCGGATTGTCTTTATCTGCTGTGCATTTTGCGCCACAGACCATAAATATGTACAGAAGATCAAATTTACCTCACACAGGCTACGGTCCGGTGGACGGTGGAGCAGACTGACGGAAATTAATTAGGCCTCAGTAGCAGGTCCTGCTGCTTCCTGACCACAACCAGACGCCTAATTACCTTCCATACATCACAGAAGGCTGTCCTTATAAAAATAAAAAAAACTTCATTGTGGAACAAGTAAAAGAAAAAATAAACACACCTTTACATAGAAATTATAAATAAGCCTCACTGGCTGTTCCCAGTCTTCTGTAAAGGTCGGTTGATGCAAATTTCATACTTTATAAATGGAAAACGTAATGCAGTAATGTCATCTTGTTCAAGCAGTCTGATTTTGGAGGTTAAGAACCGGAATTAAATCTAAAATTAAACCTTTTTTATGCAGAGAAAGAGGATAATTAAAGAGTGTAAATTTATAATGCATTAATCAAAGAGGAAAAGTTCAGATTTCAAAGACAAAATATTGTCTTGGATATTCTAAACAAAAAAAATGAAAGGACTTAAAATTTTGACTTTTCATCACAAATAACTGCAAAAACACAAAATCTTACCAAGTAATTTTGGTCTAGTTTCTAGTGCAAATATCTCGGCTCACTTGAAATAAGATGAAACCAAATTACAAGTAACTTTTCAGCAAGATATAGGAGCTTGTTTTTAAGTAAATAATTCCTTAATATTGATGAAAAAGTTCCAGTTCCATTGGCAGATAATTTCACTTATAACATGAGAAAATGTCTTGTTATAAGGGAACTAGTATTTCATCAATATTAAGGAATTATTTACTTAAAACAAGCTGATATATCTTGCTGAAAAGTTATAAGTTTGTTTTATCATTTCAAGTGACCAAGATATTTTCTCTAGAAACAAGACGCAGTATGACCTTTGTGGAAGAATTATATTCAGGAAACTTCATTTCATACATTTTCTGCACACAGTCTATAAACACTCCTAATTACCAAATGTTTACATTTTTAAATTTACCTACAATGTGAATAGAAACCTTTAACGGCAATAAATACTCTAATAATCAATATCAGGAATGATTTGAGTACAGATTTAGAGAAATTTTAAAAGCAAACATCTGTCAAATGTTTACCTAAATGTACCTGAGATGGGTTTTAAATACATTTTAATTATACATTCAGTTTTGTTTTGCATTTAGACATTTCTGTTTTTGCCTCATCACGTTTCCCCAACCTCAGCTCGGGTTTCAGTTAAATTTAAGTGTCATCCTTCTTTTTTGTCGATGCTTTTGGTCACGAAATCAAACTGCACTCAATAACACAAAACCACTGCAGAAGAAAATTATTATTTTTTTTTTTTTATTTCTCCCTTTGGTCAGAGACGGCAGAGCTCAGCGTTTGGATGAAGGTCACTCCGGGTTTCGCTTTGCTCTGCAGATCCTGTGAAGGTGACGGCTGTTTCAGATTAGATATTGATCTCTGTGTGTGAGCTTATGTGCCGGCACTCATGTTTTTTGTTTCCCTGTAATTGATTTAGTGAAAAGCTTTATCGGATCTATAAACTGCAGGTCATTCCATGCTTGCAGATTCTGTCAGGGAAAAGTTTGTAATGAGCCAGAAACTTGATGCACATTTGTGACCTTTTCTCTTAAGTGTCTGTGTGGGTCATGCATTCACAATGCAGATTGATTATTGTAGTTTGTGAAAATTGAATTGACCTGTAATTTTTCTTTTTATTTATTACGTTTTAACAGCAGAAAATATTGATTTGCAGATCAAAAAGGAATTAAGACGACACCTGCAAAATCCCATCAGAGGTTGTCTTCAGTGATTTTTAAACAAGTAATAAACATTTATTATTATTAATGTGCATAAGGGGACATAACAGAGGAATACATTATTCCTTTACAAATATGGTAATAATTAATTACCTGATACCTGAAATTAATGTTTTAATTTTTTGCAGATATCACATCACTTTACATCCTTTAAAAAAGTTTTTAAAAAAAACATTTCTAAAATATTTAAAATTTATACTTCATAAATTTTAATTTTAAAAATATTTGAAAAATGTTACTCCATGTTTAAAGAAGAAAGAACAAAGTATTTAGTAAACTTTTGTAAAGAGCCTTGAAATATTTGAACAAAATTGCACAATTTGAAAGGTAATTTTAGTGTATTTAAGGAACTATATGCAAACATTTGAAATTGAAAAACATTCTGGCATTTAGCAAATATAAATACTTTTGATCATCCTAACTTATCTACAAGTTTAGACTAAATTAATCAAACAGTAAGGGGGAGTATGTAAACTTCTGGTTTCAGCTGTTTGGTAATGCATAATTGGAAATAAATCCACATTTCAAATGCATAAAATTTGATATTTTTCACTTGAGTAACCCTCAGAATTGGATTCAAACACATTATGATATGAAAGTTTAAGTGTCTTTGAATTGGCAGCAGGAGCTTCAAACTGATCTGAGGAGGGATTTTACTGAAGCAGTTAATCTCCAATAATTAGAGTTTATTGTTGTGCCTCATTATTATACAAAGTGTGACTCTGTTCTCAGTTTACTGTCTGTGTTCGCTCTCATTAAAATTTTACAGAGGTACACAGACTTTGGTAAACTTTGAAGCAGAATTGTCTGGGATATTTTGTTTGGATATGATTACCCAGTTTTGCTGCATCTTCACAGAGCCTTTCATGCTGTACTGTTCTTTCATTAAAATGAGAGATAACTGTGTTATATAAAGTGATTTGCAGCCTTGATGCATTCTTCCCCTGTGGACTGGAATTTCTTGTTTTAAATTAATAAAAACATTCATTCTCCTCTGTCGTTTCAGTGCACTGCAGAGCCTCATACGTGGGTAAAGTGAGCAGGCTGGTGTAAAGAGAAGTCTGCACAGCAGTGTTGGACAGAGAGCGTCTTCGTTTTAGATTCTCTATAAAGACAATTCTTCAACCAAGAAGGGATTACAATGAAATATGATTAAAAGTTTAATTTGTAATCCTGTACAGAAAGTATGATGGAAGATGCCAAGCAGGATGCTAAGGGTATTACAAATTGTACTTGACTGTGGGGGAATTTGGGCCCATTTTTCTTTGCAGAGTTGTTTTAATTAAGCCACTCTATGCATGAGCAGCTTATTTACAGTCATTGTACCTAAAAACATTCTTTTCATTTTAACTTAACACATCTTAGCAAGTAATTCTGGTCTATTCTAGTGCAAATATCTTAGTTCACTTGAAGTAAGACAAAAATAACTTTTCAGCAAGATATAGGTTGTTTTAAGTAAATTCCTTAAAATTGATTAAAATGTTCTAGTTCCACTGGCATATTTCACTTTTAACAAGACATTTCCCCCCTGTTATAAGTGAAATAATCTACCAATAGAACAAGAACTTTTTCATCAATATTAAGAAATTATTGAGTCTAAACAAGCTCGGATTTCTTGCTGAAAAGTTACTTAAGAGTTAGTTTTGTCTTTAAATGTACTAAGATATTTTCACTAGGAACTAAACCAAAAATACTTTGTAAGATTTTGTTTTTGCAGTAAAGAAACTTTTTGCACTAATGTTTTAAAGCAGATATTTCTCAAATTGTCAAAAACTTTCTTGTACTAAATTGCTCCCTCAGCTTTAACTGATGTCAGATTATGTTCTGTGATCTATGTAGTTAGTAATAAAAATTGCATTTGCTGTCACAAATAAGCACAAATATCACAGATTTTTCCAAATTAGTATGACAAACACTTTGATTTTTATTGCAAAACAAATCACCCAAAAAAAATCATAAAATCCTGGAGGAACTGAAAAATTTTTCAATTATATAATTTACTTTTAAGAATTAATTTATTTTAACTGTTGTAAAATTAGATTAAGAACTTTAAACTCAGGAATAATTAAAATAGATTTACCCTCTCAAACTCTAATATAAATTTTTCCAGTTACAATTTATAATTCCTTTAACTCCGTGGGATTTAAACGTTTCTGTTTAAAAGTTTTGCTGCAGTGATTAGTTTCAGTTGATCCACAGAGCTGAATATGAATAATGTGAAGGAAGTTTGTATTGATGAATAGCCATTAAACCCTAAACTCTCCTGGGTTACATGAACACATTTCACTGTTTTTCATCTTCGTTTTCTGTAATGTGTTTGTTTTCTCTCCTGATGCTGCTTCAGCATTATTCAAAGCTGCTGCAGGCAGCTGTTTTCAGCAGAATAAATAAAAAATAAAAGCCTTGCAGCTTCTCCCGGCACCCAACAGCAGAAATACTCACTGAATACATCTGGCTAGCATGAGGAGTAGTTGGCATCTTATCACAAGATGTTACACTCAAGAGTTTGGAGAAATCATTTAAAAACAATTTCAAGGCTCTAAGGTGGAAAAAAACTTAATGACCAAAGCAGATTTTTAGACGAAGTCTTCAAATCCCTGCCACTTTTTCACATTTTACTCTATTATAATCACAAAATCCAGTGGGATTTTCTGTGAAAGACCAACGCCAAGTGATGCAAAATTATGAAATGGAAAGAAAATTATTAAAGTAATGCTTAAATGATATTTAACTTCAAATAATCTGAAAAGTCTTTTAGGGCTTCACACATCAAGTTTTGATCAAGTTTTTATTGTAAAATAAGACTCAACATCTCAGCATCTATTATCTTCATTTTATCAACAGGAAGCAGCACAGAGTCATTAGGTGGAAAGAAAATTATTTTTAATACATATATGAAAAGTCTTCAAAGCAAAATCCTGCAGTTCATGTTATTTGGAGGAATGTCTCTCCCAGTTCTGCACATCCAAAAACTAGATTTTTTCCCATTCTTCTTCCCAGAATAACTCCAACTCAGTCGGAACGGATGTAGAGTAGATTTTATCTCATCCTCAGAGTTTTTCCGCAGATTCTCAGTTTGATTTAGCTTCTGACTTTGACTGTGCCACCTAATCTAAACCTATCAGAGCTCTGCTACATATGGTCGTGTTTCTGCTTTTTTTAAGATAATGGTCCCCTGTGAGGCGTTCAAAGCTTAGTATATTGTTAATTTTTCTCTATTCTCTAATAAAATTATTTTATTTTCATGTTGCAAATTCAATTTGAGGACTTGTATCTTAATCTAATTCAACTAAAGGACTGTCTGAGCCCACAAAGGATCAAACTTTATATCATGATTTGGCATAAAAGAAGCTGAATGACAGATTTTTGCCTGGAAAACAAGCTGTCACTGTGGCCTCTGCTGGTGTCAAAGGGACGACATTTCTGAAGGATTTATCTAGATTTCTTTTGCCCTTAGATGTTTCAGTGCTGCTAGAGTTTGATGACACCAATAAATAAAAAATAATAATCCAGGTGGCAGATTATCTTTAACAGATTTTGGCAGCAGATGGAAACCAGAGGAAGTGTGTTTGCACTTGTTTTATTTATGTTGTGAGAACATGCGGAGAAAAACCATTTGTTTTCAAATTTAGTGGATGACTTGTATTAAATTTAAAATCAAATTAGAGTAGATTATTGTCCAAATTATGTCAGAATGAATGTAAATCTGCTTGAAATGTATGTGTACATTCAAAGTCCTACAAAGGGATGAAAAACTACTGACTGCGTTTGTTTGTGTTGTGGCTCAGCCGGATAAATCCTCATGCTGTTCATCTTTTCATCTGAAGTTTCTCCCTGTTTGGGTTTGTTTGTATTCAGGTATTTAAAAATCACATCTTCCAAAACTTTCACCAACTTTTTTGCATTTCATTGAAATTTCATGTGAGATCAACACAAAATATTTTCATTTTTTCTTCTACAAATAAATATGTTAGTACAATTCAGTACAACCAGTTATTTTTAGATATAAGTTAATGATTAAAAACTCCCTCAAGTGTGATTTAATTTGGTAGAGAACACAAATGAACAAGCAGCATCTTTAAGACCAAAGCAGAAGGTCAGAGAGGAAGTTGTGCAAAGGTTTAACGCTGAAAATAAGAATATTTTATAAAGCAAACTGATTGAGAGATGGACATCTACCTAAACTGACAGATATTTAAGGAGCTAAGAGAGGTAAAGAAAAAGGAAAGCCATAAAAAATCACATGTTGAGGAAAACACAAATGTGTGGATGATTTAGTTAATGTGTCAGGATCTCAGGTTGATGCAGTTTTTTTGTTTGCTGTATCCTTTATTATTCCAGATCAACCTTAATTTCTCTCTTTACTTTCGATTAGTCCTTACTAATAATGGTTTATTTATTTAGATTAGATCTGTTGTTCATTCTTTGTGTTTATTTATTATGGTTAGTTTTATATTTTCCCAGCTTCCCTTTTAGTGTTTTTACCCTTCCTGGTTCCTTGGTGCCCACTCTCTCTCTCTCTCTCTCTCTGTGTCTCGCTCTCCCTCTCCTCACAGCTGCACTCTGTCTATAATTAGTCCTGATCCATTATTTCCCAGTTTCCTCTCTTTATTTTTTCATTTTCCTTTTTATCGAATATGACCTTCATGAGACTCCAAATGTCCTGTCTGTGCTTTGATCCTGGTCAGCCACAAATCAGATGGGATCAGATTTACACTTTGTGACCTGCATGCAAAACAATCTGGCCAAAAACTAACATTGCACATCACCTTGAACACATCACACCTGTTATAAGCGAAATCAAAGCTGAAAACCAAAACACACAAACCAAAACATGAAGAAAATATCTTAGAGGCTTTGACAATTACTTCTAAAACCTTTCCTATGCTGCATTACCTGTTTGTAAAGGAAATTTTAAATTGCATGTCACACTTTTCACATTCTTATTGTTGCACCATTTCCTTCTGCTTCTTAATCATGTGTTGCTCCATCCTAAGATGTCAGCGAATTATTTGGACCCTTGTGATTGTAACATCACAAAAAGTGAAAATGTTCAAGGGACAAACACATTTCTGCAAAGCACGGTATTTCTAAATATGCTTATGCAGCCCATTTTCTCCATCATCACAACTCTCCCTCTCAAAGGTTGACAGTTCGTCCCTTTCATCACTTATGACCTACTTTTTTTCTGATTATGTGATCAAATGGCAGAGAGGTGGAAAAGCTGCAGGTCCAAATATGCTGCAGGAACCACAGTGCAAACAGGCACCTCTCTGTTTTAATTGTCCCCAGAGATCCCCCCAATCGGTAATTAGCCAACATTGCCTCTGGTGTGTGTGTGTGTGTGTGTGTGTGTGTGTGTGTGCTGGGATATCTGCTAAGGAAGAATTTGTGACACACTGTTCACCCCTCTCAGTCAAAACCTTCAGTTGTTCCTCATTTACATGTTAAATACTTTAACAAGAACGCTTCACACTCTGTCTTGTCAAGTTTGATTCCCTGTCTGCCATCCCCATTTGTGGCATCTTAGAGACACACTCAAATTAAAGAAGCTGAATTTCTTCCACAAGTTAAAAAAAAATGCATGGCTTATAAGGAGGCTGGTTCTTTTGTGTAAGGATTAAACTGACCTTTGAATTATGGAGCGGTTTCTGCTGGCTTTCAGCTGTAGCAGTCCTTCCAGAGGCCACCTACCAGTGCATTGACCAGACTTCAGCAGCAGCAGCTTTGAAAGTGCAGCCGAAGTAAATCTTCCCTGCTGAATTAGGCTGAACGGCTGCATGCTCTGAGTTTTTACTTCCACCCCATTTTGTCGTTGTACTTCTCGTTTCTTTAAGCGTTTCTTTGTGCGTTTCAGTCAGCATTACTTCCACTTTATGGCTGTCTTCAAATTGTTCACTTGATCACTCACCCACAACAAAGTGTTTGCTCTGGAGGATGAGACAACACAACTTGTTGAAACACTTCAGATAATGTGATTATAGCACTGTTACTAGGTGCTAAATTGTTGTAGTTATCTTTGCCACACAAACAAAGAGTGGATAATTAGCATTTTCTATTCTTATATATGTTGTGATAATCTATTACTTAACCTTATTAGAATAATACTTATTAAAACAAACTAATGTATAGAGTATTTTACCTTTTTCTGATGCATATAAGCATTTTTCCCTTAAATCTTCAATTCAATGAGATTACACTTATTTTTAATGTATATAACT